TTGCTAATAATTTCAGCTGATGAGAATTTCTGCACCGGGCTCGGTGGATCCGTTTGCTGACTGTAAAAAGTGGGAAGTCCTGCTTTACTGTAAGAACCTGCCGCTCGGTCCTCAGGGGAACCTGAGACTTCCAGATATTGGTGCGAGCAGCTGGTCGTAAACTAATAATATGTCCCTCTGACAGACGGGGTTGGATGGTCGTCATTTGAGCCCTGCTGATCGTGCAGGCAGGCGTATCTGCAGCCTGCAAAAGATGTGCTCACCGGTGGCGTTTCGACGTCACTCCCGTTGCTTCGGAGCACTCGGTTTTCACGCACCTCCTCAACAACCCTGACTGAACATGAACTCAAAGCACTCTCTGGACTGCACCGAAAATACCTCACTTTTAAAAGCTCCTCGTTGCAAAACCGGTCCAAACAACAAACTGTAGTTTAAATTCATAAGGTAATAATATTAATATGCAAAATATATTTGAATTATATCAATGACTAATTTTTATTTCTCCTCGTACAGCTGCTGCCTTCGTCAGGGGTCACCACAGCGAACCACGAAGACTTGGCAAGGGATTTTACACCGGATACCCTTCCTGACGCAACCACAGACCACCGAGCTGCCACAGCCATGGGTGCCCAGGGGAGCAGGTGGTGGGGGTTAAGGGCCTTGCTCAAGGGCCCAGAGTGTTGGCAGGCATGGGTGTTTCACCTTTCCCACCCACATTTGATGTCGTCGGTCCGGGGAGATGAACCAGCGATCTTCCGCTCACGGGCCCACCTTCTCTAACCTCTGCGCCATCACTCCCCCATATGAACGACTAATTATGTCCCTAATTTAAAAGTGACAAACAAAACTACCACTTGTTGCGCTATTTGTTGAGTGAAGTTTGTTAGCAGTGGAGTTGGAAAAAAATTAAAAATGTTAAACTTACTGGTCCACAGTGGTGGGCACAGTTTTGCTAATCCGCTAGCAGTGGAACAGCATTTTCGCAAACTTTGGAAACCGTTAGTGGAATTAGTTTCTGCTAAATTAGGTTTAATCAACGTTAAAGCCTGCTAACAAAATTCACAAGCTCGCTCGTGTCTGTTGTGGGTTTGTCTCGAAGTGTCCGTTGAGCCCGCTCTTGGCTGACTACCTGTACATGTGACAAGCTGTGATTGGTCGATACAGCTGGAAGGAGACAAAGGAACCGTTGACACGATGTGTTTTGTGAGTGAAACCCCTTCGATTCCGCTGTTCATGACACAACAGCCCTCATTCTCTCTGAAACTGAAGGTGTCTGAATCCAGGTCTCAGACTGGAGATTTTCAGGGGAACCCCCCACGGAGATGTGAAATGCTCTGCAAGTAAGTCGCACATGTGCGCTACAGGTGTACATTTCCCCAGTCGGCATATTTCTATCAACAACAATGGTGCTGGAGTATAAAGACTGATTAAGCAATAATTTACAGGTCTCTCTTGTAAATGAGTCTTCGAGGCTCAATGAGACTTAAGGCTCTCACAGACTCGGGACCTCAGTCTGTGGAGGTCCACGCGTACCGGATTAGACTAGCAGTGGACGCCCGCAGAGCATGTCCGTGCAAAGCTCAATTTTTGCAACCGTGTATGCGTACTCAGTATCGCGCAATAAGCTGCCCGGTGACGGACTGTTTTGTGTGCGACACCAATGTATTAAATTTCCCTTCTTCGTCCCTGGTCTGGTTTATTGGCCTTTTCTTTTGTTTTTGCCAAGAGGCAAGCGGTCTCTTCCTCCTCATCCGTTGACGCCATGACTGAAATTGTGAGAAATGAAGGAATTTGTCACGAGCGAATTAAAAGCAGACCTGGTGTGGCTGTGGGAGGGTCTGGAGATTTCTCGGTGGGCTGGTCTGATGTGTGGGCTGCAGGGCCAGTGCTCCCTGTTTTTTTTAAAGAACTTTTTATTAACATATAAACACAGAACATTGTGGCCGCTCGTTTTTTTTTTTGTTTTTTGTTTTTTTTTGGGGGGGAGGGGGTTGCGACCTGTCAATCAATCCAGTAGGCGTGTCGGCAAATGACCAATCGGCAAACTCAATTTGTCTCGAAGGTAAACGCCCCATGCCTGCGGAGCTGGGCTGCAGCCGATCAGGGTGTACGCTCGATGAAGTCTCAACCGTCTGTGGACGGTGCGCACAGTTTCCGTGCGGACTGAGATCCGGACGATTATGTGGGAGCCTTAACCTGTAAAAATAAAGGTTGAACAAATGAATGAATAAACTGACCTCATCATGAGTACACAACAACTTTTTCTGCTAGCCATGCTTTCCACTCTCCAAACAAATATTTACATTCTACACCCAGCATGGCGTAGCACAGCGGACTCAGGGAGTTTCTGTGGTTCCATGTAAACACCGAATGCCGTCCGTGTAAACGAGGATTTTTTTTTTCCCCTCGAATCAACAACCGAAAAGCACAGTGGCTGTGTCCGTGCAAACAGGGCCGAAGACGTGTGACGCAGAATGAGTCAGTCGTTTTAGCGTTAGCTTCCGCTAATTCATTTTTTTAAACCTGTTTAGCGGTTTGGAATTGGCAAAGCTTTTTTTTTTTTTTTTTTATGTTGTTAGCGGTTAGCAAATCTAAGTTTTCGGTTAGCTGTGCTCAGCACTGCTGCATTAGCAAAAACTACTTGGACCCTAATTTTTATTCTTGGCAGCTGTCATACTCAAGTCTTTTCAGTTTACGTTTAGCAACAGATTCACACACATTACAAAAAAAAAACTTTCATTTCCACGCTTGTTCAGTTGTGCCATATGTGTTAGCCAACACAGCCTAATCATTTCCATGTGGTTTTCAGCATTTTTTGTTGTTGTTTGCATTGTTTTCCTGGACTGTGGACCCACGTTCCAGAACTGCATATCAATAGATCTGGAAAACTGACGAAGTAAACTCTTTCAATCGGCACCATTTCATATATCAAGGTCATCTTTTTTTTTTCATACTTTGCTATTTGTACCTTTTTAATTGCACACGTTCATTTGAAAGTTCATCAAATATAGCACAATGATTTGTGCATTTTCTCTGTAAAATCACTGCAGTGCATCTATTTCACAGACAAACCCGCAAGGTTGAACAATAACAAGTAGCTACTTAATTTTAGGGGGTTATTAAAGAAAAGACAGGGATTAAGTGAGTCAAAGCTTCTCAAGAAGATCATCCAAAATTTTAATCTGGATTCAAAAAACAGCAAGTAGCCTCTTTGTCTCAGGACCTCATGCTGAAGACTGTTGAGATTTAAAGGTTTAAAAATAATCAAGACCTCGGCAGCTTTAATGACACAAACGCATGCGACGCGGATTACATATTGAAATGAAGGGAAAAATCTTTGAAATCTTTAAAAATAACAAAGAACGCCTAATTTGAAAAAGCTCCTTGAAACCAAATGTGCCCAAACAGCAGATAAAATAGTCTAACTTACCAAAAACAGTGGCTAATGTTTACATTCTTGCATAAAGAAATGACGTGTGTTGTGTTGACTGCACACCAACCTGCGCTCTTATTGCCTCACTTTCTATAGGAATGAGGCCACATTCCTTTAGAAGGGTCTGATTTAAATATTCTCCTCAGTTTAAACCCTTCAGGAATTTGCCCAGGGCATTTCAAACTCGAGTATGAACAGTCCTCTTCTGCAACTGTCATTCCAGAAGACCACGACGACCTACAGACACACGAGAAATGCTCCATGCTACTTGCGTTTCATAGCGCTCGCATTTTTTGTGCATCAAGCAAACAGATAAAGGTGCTTTGTTTACATTGAGTGCATGCCTGCATTTCAGAAATGCACGTCAATATATCTGCAGGGGCATTTGACCTTTTTTTTTCCCCCAGTTAATTACCATAATGCCTCATGTATATCATTCAGATTAAGCTGTGTTCAGTTTGCTAACGCCACGAATCATCATGAAGACGATTTTGCAACTTTTCCATGAAGATTCAAAGGAAAACAAAAGGTAAGTTAAAGCAGGGGGTTGGGAGAGGAGGGAAGGAGCATGCCATTCAAACAATACGGTGCGCGGGAAAATGAGGGAGGAGAGAGGAGGAGTAGAGAGGAGAGAAGGGGGGTGGAAAGGAGGGGGTAAATGGAAGTCTTTTTATCTCTAGTTTCCCACATCCTGCGACGAGCTGCAAACACGGCCACCCAATTTGAAAGAATGAGCGGAATGCGCCTTTTCTCCCCCCTGCCCTGCTTTGATGCGCAGCCAGTCCACAGGCATGGCCTAAAAAAAAGAAAGCTGCAAACCTGGAGCTCACAATCAAACCAGGGCCATGAAAGTGCGGCGTTTAATGTGAAACTGATCAGCTTTGGAGGGCTGTTTAGACAGATGGAATCTAAAATGATTATGTCACTTTGTGCAAAACGTTTTGTCCTATTTTTATTTAAGTCTGAGCGCAACTTTGACAGCAACACGCTGCTTCTGTTATGCGCGTATGAAATATAAAGCCCAAACCTTAAACCAAAACAGGAAATACTTCTGATAATATGTGCAGTATTCTCATGGTTCAGAAGTTCTTGACTATAATAATAATCAGTTCATAATATCAAGCACGTTTTTTTAAAATATATTTAGAAATCTCACAGTGCTGCAAAATCTATTAAATATATAACTGGTACTAAATATAAACTAGAATTAAAAAAAAAAAAAGTATTTATTTGTATAGTCTTCCTTTTTAGCCACTGCCTCCTTTACATCACACTTGGCGTTGAATTTGCATTTCCCCCCCAACGTGAATTCATCATTATGCTTTATTGTAAACCTCCCTTTTTTTGGCGCGTTTTGATTCCCGCCACGTCTGTCTGGCCTGGCTGGTTATGAGCTTCAGTCTATTTTCATTCTTTGATTGACGGGCGATTCGAATGCGTTTCTGCGCTCCTATTGGTGCAGAGGGCGGAAGAGGACGGACTAAGACTCAGACGTCATCGGCTACGCGACCGCCCCCTTACTACAGCCATATAACCGTCCTACCCCCCAGCTTCTGTTTTCAGAAGCCGGTGTCTGGACTGGAGCATTGGTGTGTTTACCTCTTTGTGCTACGCGCGCGTTGTTAGTTTTACTCGTCTGTTTACAAATATTACGGGAACGGCGGTTGTTTTGCGTTCAAGAAATCACAACGAACCGCCGATTCGAGATTTGATCTCATCTTTTGGCTTCCTGGAAACACAGCAAGGACGGATTGTCTCTTTCTTTCTGGATGAAAGGGTTCCTGCCGTGTTTTCGTCCTTCCTCCAACGTGGACTTTACGAGCCGTGAGACCGGGGAGAGAGTCACGCTGTGGGAATAAAAAAAAAAAAAAAATCACACGCCAGTGGAGGAGGACGCTTCGCTGACCTGCTTTAGTGGATTAAAGGAATGCTGCTGTCGAAGCTGGCCCACATCTCCGCCGTAGATATGCCGGCGAAAATCCAGCTCCAAGTTCAACAAGGTTAGACGCCCTTTTTTTTTTCTTCCCCCGGCTCTGTGTTGTCTGGGAGGACGTGGCTCCCACAAGAGCTCGCTTGTATTTTACACGATACTATTCGTTCCAAAAACCGCGCCGAAGAAGGGATTTTTGATCAGGCGTTTATCTGGTTTTCTAAATTGTTGTTGCAGTGAAGGACAAGGAGCCGTTCGAGAAGCTTTATCAGGTCGGCGCCGTGATGGGCAGCGGCGGCTTCGGCACCGTCTACTCCGGCACGAGGACTTCCGACGGAGCTCCGGTTAGTACCCTTTTAATTTGTACGACTTAACCTTTTTTAGAAGATTTAAAAAAAAAAAAATACATGTTTAGTTAATTTTCCTGTCTAAGGCGGTGTATTTTCTGCTACGCTAGGTTGCTGTCAAACATGTAGCCAAGGACAGGGTGACGGAGTGGGGAGAACTGGTAAGAGACATTTTGTTCTTCCGCCGTTATTCACGTAAAACCTCTTAAATCGTTCAGAATCTGATTTGAGTGTTTATTTTATTAGCCCAGCGGCTCCCGGGTTCCCATGGAGGTCGTGCTGCTGAAAAAAGTGGGCACGGGCTTCCGCGGCGTCGTCAAGATGCTGGACTGGTTCGAGCGGCCCGACAGCTTCATCATCGTCATGGAGAGGCCCGAGAACGTCAAGGACCTGTTCGACTTCATCACCGAGAAGGGCGCCCTGCCGGAGGAGCTGGCGCGGAGCTTCTTCCGCCAGGTGCTGGAGGCCGTGCGCCACTGCCACAGCTGCGGCGTGGTGCACCGGGACATCAAGGACGAGAACATCCTCATTGACCTCCGCACCGGAGACATGAAGCTCATCGACTTCGGCTCCGGGGCGCTGCTCAAAGACACCGTCTACACCGACTTTGATGGTGAGCTTAATTCAGTCTTGTTCAATTCTTATTACTTGTTTACCCTTTCACCCAAATTACCTTGTGTAATAGAAATCCCCGAGGTTATGTCACCCCCACTCTGTGGCTTAGATTAGAATTTGTCGCCCCCTACTGGGGAGTAATGGTATTTCTACAACTCAAAGTTTGTAAACAAAGTCACGTGTCTGCTCCTCCTTCCCCCACCGCTCGCAGCACTGGCCTGAGCCCAGATAAAAAGATTTCAAACAGGCTCAGCTGGTGGTTTTTGTTTAGTTTCTGCAGTTCTTTCTTTCTAGTTCTTTACATTTGGCGTATCGGTTAAGACTGCTCTTTTTATTTCTGACGTTTTCAGCTTTTAAAGGCTAATCTCCGTTTTTGTCTTGCAGGCACAAGAGTGTACAGTCCTCCGGAGTGGATCAGATATCACCGCTATCATGGGCGCTCGGCGACCGTGTGGTCCTTGGGCGTCTTGCTGTACGACATGGTGTGTGGGGACATCCCGTTTGAGCACGACGACGAGATCACGAGGGCGCAAGTTCTTTTCCGGAGGAGAATTTCTGCAGGTAAGCTCGGACTGAATCTCACTCCGTTTGCCACGCGTGTGCATTGTTTATGTTCCCTGTTGTTCTTCAGGACTAATTGGTTTCCCTTCCTCCCCCTCCCAGAATGCCAGCAGCTGATTAAGTGGTGTTTGTCTCTGAGGCCTGCCGACCGCCCGTCCCTCGAGGACATCATCAACCACTCGTGGATGCAGAACACGTCCTCCTCGGTTGTGCCAGCCACGGTACAGACCGGTACCGCGCAGACTGAAAAAACGACTACGGAGATCAGGCTGCACAGCATCGGCCACGAGCCCACCGCCTTCACGCCCACCCCCATAGCTGTGGCTCGATGATGGAGGCGAACTGGACTGTACTGACTCAAAAAAAGAGGCTGTTACAAAAAAAAAAAAATAAGATCTGTAATAGACCAAAAGCAGAGGTACGTGCACAGAACTGCACGTTCTGCAGGGTCACCTTGTGGTTTCAGCTTGGCTGATCAGAGCCTCTCCACGCCGCTGCTCGATCAATCACTGATCGGTGCCGCAGCACCGGACTCCGATCCAGGCGGCGGGTGCTCCAACATCTAAGAGGGCGAGAATGGACACCTGCAGAGTGAGCCGGCCGTACAGCAAGTGGACAGTAACGCTCTCTTCCTCGAGCTCGTTGTCACAGCAGAGGAAAGAGCGGAGGCGTTCGTGAAGAGATGCCTTCATTATTTTTTTTAAAGTGCCTTCTGTGAGATCTGTTAAGGCGGGGGGGGGACCTGAAAATACTTGAATTAGTGAAGTCAAAAAGGCAGCAACCTTTTTGTTTCCTGCTCTGTAGACTTTGTTTGTTGACAGTTCTTTCCTCTCGTGGGCCTAGATCCGTAAAGCCCGTGTCATTTACAACCACTACTATCACCACTACTCCAACGTCATTAGCAACCAGACGACCTCATCGCTCCGGCAGCGACTCGTGCAAATCATTAACGAGAAACACTGGACTTACCTCGGTCTAATTGCTTTCAGCATCCACCTCTACTCTACAACCTCTGCTTCCTTCTGTTCCCGTGCACGGACACGTGCACACACAGACCCGTCGACCTGAACGCACACAGCAATGCAAACCTAAATCGTACCGAGATCCGAACATCCTCTGCTCTTTAAATGTTGAGCCGTGCCTCACGCAGGTCTTAAGAGTGGAGTGGGGACAGAGCTGTAAAAGATATTTATTGTTGCTGTGACTCCGCTCTCACAAGCAAAGCGTTGTTGTTGTTGTTGTGCAGAGTTAATTTATTTATTTATGAGAGAATTTTGGGCTGTCTTATGAGCTGATACTATTTCATTCCTCAGTCACTGAAGGACCCACAGATTATTTAAGAGAAAACCAAAGGGGGATTATTTTTATATTTATGGCTTGAATCGTTTTTTTTTTTTTTTTTAAAGAGCAAGATGTGCGTTTTGTTTGTTTGTGTAAATAAAGTGTAAATAGTCGTAAAGCACTTCCATCTTGATGTATGTAAACATCTAACGTCTACTGATGGTAACTGGTTTCGTCATGCTGTCGTCTGAATGGTGTGTGTGTGTGTGTGTGTGTGTGTGCGTGTGTGTGCGTGTGTGTGTGTGTGAACCTGCTGCATGATCGCAGCTTGGATTGTCTTTTTTCATTCACTCAAACTAGAATTGTAAATTATGTTAGAAACTATTTTTATATGATTTGAATAAATATTTTTGTAACTGACTCTTGACTGTTTTGCATTTCTCTCCATAATTCTGCTCATAGTTCTGTAAACTGTTTATTATGGAGCCCGTTCAACGCCTGCGGCGACTTTAGTGGGTTCGATGGTTATACAACTTCCTGTTTTGACTTTTGTTGAAAAAAAAAACAGCCGTGAAGTTGATGAAGAGATAAAAGGTTAAAAACACCAAAGTCAGTGAGGTGATGCAAGGACAGAAATTAAAGGACGAGCGCAGTTCAGAGCTTAATGTTCTACACACACACAGGTTTGGTGGTAGTAGCTGAGAGTTGATGAAAACACGTCCTTGAGCATGTGAGGTTTGATCAAAACGGGGTTTTTTTTGGGGACTTCTCAGTTTTTGAACACAAAGTCAATGATGCATCTACAAATTCAATTTATTTATTTATTTAGCGCCAAGTCACAACAGACGTCCTCTCAGGACGCTCATAAATAAATCATATATAAAATAATTTAACATTATTTATCTGAGGAGCAGACGGCTTTGAGTTTAACTCCATCACAGAACTCTCATCTTGAGCGAGCACGAAGAAGACGGTGGAAACTCCATGAGGAAGAACCAGGCTCAGGACAAGCTCCATCTGCTTCGACCGGCTGCGTTTGAGAGGAACAGATACACAATGGCAGGGTGAGAATCATATATTAAGATAGAAGTATCAGATTAAAACTTCATATGCAACTATTCGTTTGATGTAATGAAGTCAGTTTGTTCTCCAGCAGTCTAAGGTCGTTTTCACACCTGACAGTCCGGTAGACTCGGTTCGTTTGGGGACCAATATTCAGAACATTCGTTACATTTTCAACTGGTGCGGTTTGCATTCACACGTCACTCGAGCCAACCTGTTCCCCCCCCTCGCCTGTGGTGGCGCTGCACCAAGAACTACTAAAGGAAACGACACAAAGACCTCTGAAGAAGACACTTCTTCTGGAAATAAAAACGAAGTGGTGTCAAATTTTAGCGGTTTTAGTTTTTCTGTTTAGTCGTTTTTCCAACAATGGACTCAGCGTGAGCGGAAGATGAGGCAGAAGACCACGGAGAATGTTGTTTTTCACACAAGGCGGCTGAGACGGCTCCTATGAGGTAAGAGAAATGTGCGATTGTCCTACGCTGTACTCCACTTCCTGCTTGCTTTCACACTGTACTCGAACTGTGCTAGAGTTTTCTTCTACCGGACCGAGACCTAGGTTTTAGACCGGGCCAGAGTTCGCTTTTTTGTTCCGTGACAAGAGTTCGATGGCGCGTTCACACCTCCCTAGATGAATCGGACTTCCTAGGCAAGCGGGCTAGAGTTCGGGACAACAGGGCTGGTGTGAATGCACCCTAAAAACTGAGGTCTCGGTTGGGTTGAAGTGAACTCGAATGCGGTTCAAATGCAGTGTGAATGCAAGCAGACCAGAGACCGCTCCAAAAGCAGGAAGTGGACTACAACGCAGGGTATTCTGGGTAAATACAACCAAAACAAAAGTGCATTTCTCTTACCTCATACGGAGCCGTCAGCCGCCTTGTGTGAAAAACATTCTCCGTGGTCTTCTGCCTCATCTTCCGCTCACGCTGAGTCCATTGTTGAAAAATGACAAAACAGAACTCCTAAAACCGATAAAACTTGACGCCACTCCATTTTTGCTTTTATTTCCAGAAGAAGAAGAAGAAGACGTGTCTTCAGAGGTTTTTGTGTCGTTTCTTTCAGTAGTTCTTGGTGCAGCGCCCCCACAGGCGAGCGGGGGAACAGGTTGGTTCAACAGGTTGACTCGACTGCACAGTGCAGTGTGAATACACACAAACCAGCTCAAATGTAAACAAGATGCTATGAATATTGGTCCCGAACCGAGTCTACCGGACTATCAGGTGTGAAAACAACCTTAGGTGGACCAGAGTTTGCCTTTTTGGTCCACATCAGAGTTCGATTGCACATTCACACCTCCCCAAACGAACCGGACTTTCTAGGCAAACGGACTAGAGTTTTTATTAAAGCGGACTAAACAGGGCTGGTGTGAATGTACGCTAAACCTATAGCAGCAAAACTAAGGGATAGGTCAGGAAACCTAAGCCGACCCTCAAAGGAAAGTCTTAAAACCGGACCATGTGCCGGCCTCATGGACAGAAACTGGAAGTTGGTTCCACAAGAGAGGAGCCTCATAACTGAAAGATCTTCCTCCCATTCTGCTTTTGCAAACTCTAGGAACCACAAGTAAACCTGCAGTCTGAGAGTGAAGTGCTCTGTCAGGAAAATATGAAACAATAAGATCTGAAATATAAGATGGAGCTAAGTTGTTGAGAGCTTTGTAGGTTAGGATTTGACAGGGAGCCAGTGGAGAGAAGCTAAAACTGGAGAGATACGATCTCTCCCACTAACTCCAGTTAAGACTCTGGCAGCAGCATTTTGGATCAACTGAAGACGTTTTAAAGACGTTTTTGGACACCCAGATAATAAACCATTGCAATAGTCCAGTCTAGACGTGACAAATGCATGGACCAGTTTTTCTGCAGCGTTTTTAGAGAAGATGTTTCTAATTTTAGTGATATTACGCAGGTGGAAGAAGGTTCTAGTAGCGTTTTTAATGTGGGGGATAAAAGACGTGTCCTGATCAAAAATAACACCAAGATTTTTAACATTAGAGCTGGAGGACAGATTAATGCCATCTAAGGAGGGAGAAAGACTGAAAAATTCATTCCTACGATGCTCAGGTCCAAAAACCAAAACCAATATCTCATGCAACATATTACAAGAGAACATCCAAGAAAACTTTGATGTTGTAGCATACGTTTTTCATCAGTATCCATCTTTCTCAGTTCAAAGCAGAAACAGCTGCAATCTGTAATAATCTGCACATGCTCCAGAGCAGTAGTGACCAGCAGCCTACCCAGAACCTGTTGTCTTGGATAGATGTCTTGGAGTTGCAGGTTTAATCAGTTGTGAGGCTCCCGGGGGGATTGCTGGCCTCGGCACTAATCTTCAGAGACAGCGCTGCCTGGACCCCACCTACAGCCAAGAGAAGATTTACACAACAACAACAAATGAGGTTACTGCTGATCCCATCAGTCCCTGTTAGTGCCTGTCAGGTGTGCCCACTGTGTGTGTTTACCTGCTGAAATAAAAAGGTGTCAACGTCTACGCAGTTCTCCGCAGCTAGTTGTTTACCAGAATTTATGATTCTTCAGGAAAAGCTTAACGTTTGATGACACCCCCTGAATCCAACAGCAGGTGCCCACCGCAAACTGTGAAATCCAACTTAAACAGCTTGTCCTGAACCGGATCAAATGATTCAGTTTTAAACGGTTCACTCCAGTAGTTTTCCAGATAAAATCATAAGGAGTTCTGAACGGTGGCTCAGTGTAAACAAAGCACCCATAAATCTGCCAGAAGATTTTCTGAATTTGTACCAATCCGTCCTTTATCTTTACTCGCTTCTTCCTTTTAGGGTCACGGGAGTCACTGGTGCCTATACCCAGCAGTCACTGTGTGAGAGGCGGGGGACACCCTGGACAGGTCCAAGTCCATGAGGGACACATAGAGACAAACGAGACAAACAACCATTCACTCTCTCTCATTAACACCTAGGGACAGTTTAAGTTACCAATCAGCCTAACATGCATGTTTTTGGTCTGTGGGAGGAAACTGGAGAACTCGGAGAAAACCCACGCATGCACGGAGAGAACATGCAAACTCCACCCAGAAAGGCCCCCGGACCGGGATTTGAACCAGCGACCTTCTTGCTGATAGGCAACAGCTCTATCAACTGAGCCAAAACGTTCAAATTACAATATTGGACATCTTGATCTCAAACAGCTCCTTCATTGATGTGGCTATTGTCTATTTATTTATTTATTTATTTAGGTAAACAATAGCACTTTTAACTTTTAGCTGGCGTTTTGCTACGTTTGGCATTTAATTAGCCTCTTGTTCATTTTAGCTTTTAGTTACCAATGCCAATTTGTTTTTCTTTTCATCTACTTTTGACCAGCTTTTACAACTTTTAGCTTGTAGCTATATCTTTTTTAGCTTTAACTATGATTTTGCTACTTTTAGCTAGTGTTTTGATACATTTAACTTTTAGCTAGCCTTCTGCTACTTTAAGCTTTTTTTATTCTTACAAAACTAGGTTTTACATTTAAGTTTTAACTAGCCTTTTGCTATTTTTTGCTTTTAGTTACATTTGTGCTCATTTTAGCATCTCTCTATTGCGTAGCTTCTTTTAGCTTTACTTATCATTTTGCTACTTTTAGCTTGTATTTTGTTACATTTAACATTTGGCAAGCCATGAGCTTTTTTTATTCTTGCTAAACTAGTTTTTACAATCAACTTTAAGCTAGGGCGGCACGGTGGCACAGTTGGTAGAGCTGTTGCCTCTCAGCGAGAAGGTCGCCGGCTGAAATCCTGGTCCGCGACCCCCCTGGGTGGAGCTTGCACATTCTCTCTGTGCATGCGTGGATTTCCCCAGGTAACTAGGGGCGGCTGTGGCTGAGTGGTTAGAGCAGTTGTCCTCCAATGCAAGAGTTGGGGGTTCGATTCCACCAGCAGTCACATGCCGACGTGTCCCTGGGCAAGACACTGAACCTCCGATGTGCGTCCCATCGATGTATGAATGTGACAAAGCTCTGGTTATTCTCTGTATAGATCTAGTAGAGTGCTGTTTGAATGAGTAAATGAGGCACAGATTGTTGTAAAGCACTTTGAGTATCTTGATG